GCGCAGCGCCCGGGGCAATAGGTTTCACAAGCGAATCGGCTTGATCGCGAGCTCGCGTGCAGTCACGACTCCAGGGACTGCCCGCACGACGCTGGGCATCAGGCGCCTGGTGTGCTTGGCGATCACCCATGCCTTCGGATCCACCTCCCTCCGTCGAATCAAGCACACAAGGGTGCGCAAACACTCACAAACGCCGCACAAGCACAGGCAAGAGAAGATGATTCGTGCAGGGTGCCCCACATCAGTGCGAAAACTCACACACACACACACACACACAGTCGTAGACACACACAAGCCCCGGCAAGAATGACCATCCACACCCACACCCACACCCGCACACACCCACCCACAAACACAACACACACTCACCACACACACCACACACACATACACACACACGCATCGCACACCACACCCACGCAAACACACACACACGCCCACCTCCACACACACATCACACCACACACACACCCCACCCCCAACCCCACACCTGCAGTATGTTGAACCCGAAGTTGCTCATGCTCTTGGTGAGCTCCTCCTTGATGGACTTGGCTATGGCCTCCTTCTCAAGGAACACATCATCCAGGGCCAGCTTGGGGACGCTGCAGATCGCGGCAACGGGCGCGGTCGTGCGGCAAGGTGTGCGCGGTGCGGTGTGACGGCAGAACAGCTAGGAGATGCAGGTGTCGAGCAGGCCAGACGCGTTGCTGGCAAGCAGTAATTTGCGCGCGCAGTTGGGAGGTTTTGGGGGCGTGCTGCGAGGTCGGATTTTGAGCAGCACCGGCTTGTAACGCAATGGTTGTGTGGGGTGTCAACCGCGGCGCCAGGGCGAGTTGGGGCGCGCGGCCACAGAGTTCCGGCAGGGGCACGTGACAGTGCGCAGGGCAGACTCGGCAGTGCAGGGGCGGGTGCCTCGTAACCTGAGGCCCTGCGCCGCAATCTACAGGCGCACGCGCACTGGCAGCCCCTGCGGCGAAGCGGGCGGCGCGGCTCACCCGGCGCGCACGACGTCGAACACGTAAGAGCTGATTTGGGTGTGGCTGTTTGTGAGCTTGTAAAAGGCGGCCTTGGGGTCATTGACCTGCGGGCGTGGGCCGAGAGGGATGGATGCATGTGTGCGTGTGTGTGTGTGTGTGTGTGTGTGTGTGTGTGTGTGTGTGTGTGCGCGCGCGTGTGCCCGCATGCGCATGCATGCATGCCTATGTGTGTGTGTATGTGAGCGGGCCCGGGTGTGGATGCTGCATGTGCCTGGAGACGCGTGTGGTGTGCATGCGTCCGGCCGCCGTGGCCTATGGCGGGCGCAAATCCGCCACCATGGCATAACTGTCAGCTGTCACAGCCGGACCAGGCCGGGCGCAGCATTGACATGCCTCTGACAAACCCGACCCGGCCGTCGTCGCAGCACAGCAGCAGCAGCAGCAGCGACAGGAGCAGCAACAGCAGCGGCAGCAGCCGCCGCACCTGGTACTGGACGCTGACCACCACCGTCACAAACACATTGTCCCGCGTCTTGGTCTCTGCAGGCGCATGCGTGCGGGCGCATGTGCATGTGCATGTGGGCGTGCCGTGGGTCGGTGGTTGCGGGCGACGGTCCATGCTGGAGGGTCCCGACGCGGCCAGTTGAGGGGTCGAAAGTGGGTGGGTCGCCCCTCAATTCAGGATAGTTTGCCGCTACGCATGGCCCGCCCCACTGCCCGGATCGGTGGGGTCCTGACACGACCCCGTTCGACCATGCATGCTGTTGTAAGGAAGTGGGATGGGCCTGCCAGGGGTGGGGCTTGGATGGCAGACGGCGCACCCACCGCAGGTCACGTCAAGCTGCTGCACACGCAGCGACAGCACGCCGGCGACCGACTCGCCGCAGAAGGGGTTGAGGCAGTTGCAGCCTGGCAGAGTGCGAGGGGACCACGTGCATATGCGCCGCCCGTAGCCGTGCGTTGTGCTGTGGGCGATCGCCGCGAGCAGCAATGCAAGCAACGGCCGCGCGTCGCACGCTGTGCGGGCGCCTGACTGGCGGGTCGCAGGTCGCGTGGCCCACGGGGCCCGGTACAGCCCTATATGAAGACAAGTGGTACATGCTACTTCGCATGGTGTACATGCTGCTGTGTATGTCGGTAGCTGGGTCGCCTGCGTCCCCGTGCTCACCGCTCTCCGCGACTTTGCTGAAGCGACCCCACTGTTCCACTATGCCCACGGTCTCCTGGTGGATACACGCGTAGAAACACGACATGGCTCTCACAGGTCGGACAGGCTGCGAGATCAGCAGATCACTCTGACACTAAGGTGTTGCACGCTCTACCAACCACAGTCCAGCTCAATCACCGGTGCTTGATGACATGAAACGAGTATTCAATCTTATCATACTGCGTTGCTGGGCACGTAGCTCTCCTTACTTCAAAAGCGAACGGCACACCCATCACAAACGCACCGTGGCGCCCAGGTGGCGCCTTGCGGTACGACATGCTGTGCGGCCCGCCAGCGCCAGTCGACGACCCAGCCACAGGACATACGCACCCGACCGACCCCGTACGCTTGGCGGTTGTTTGATTATTGTCTAGATGGCGGGCCCGGGAACCCACCCTGGACTGCCCGAGAAGGCGTCGGCGGCGTCTGGGGACACAAAAATGTTTCCCGCGTGTGACCAGACCCCCAGGCGGCCCCTTGATCAATCAACAATGTGAGTAACAGGTTCTTGTGCAGGGTTATGTCAAACTTTGCTGTGCACATTAAAATTGTGGGAGTTGGGCCACACGGTCATTGCGTAGGAATGATGTCCTTGCTCACGATCGCGCACATATGCGCCCTATGTGTGCAAACGCGGAAGCGACACTGGGGTCACACGGACTGCCCACCTGTGGAAACAGCAGCACTAACCCAGCACCTCCAGAATTTCGCTGGCCTGGTGGTTGCGATGCAAGGCGCTCGGCAAGGCCAAGCCTGCTGCACTGTGCAGGCTCAGCCGTGGGGGCAGGACTAAGCGGCGGTGACATCCCCACTGCTCCCTTGCGTCCCCGTTGCTCTGGTCGCAAGCGATTAGTAGCGAAAAGTGGCGTGCGCCACCGTGTGGCAGGCAACAATGAACGTGTAATGTGCTGAGCCTTATGCACTTGCTGTCTTAGGCCGGTGGGGGTCTATGTGCACAGGTGCCAGGTGAGGGAGGCTGGGAGGGGGTGACGAGGGTAGCCCAACCTAGGTGGCGCTGGACGAGGGTGGCCCGAACCAACCCAGTTGGCAATTCACTCGTTTTGAAGCACTGCTGAGGGTGAGTGGATCGCCGCATCCAAAAAGGTGAGGAGCCCTGGGCCGGAGGTGTCAGAGCAACGGGTGAGAAAATAGAGGCTCAACACACGTGTCGTTATGTGAAAAGCTGGGCACACGAGACGAAGTCAGAGAGCCCCCGGCCATTGCAGCAACCCTCCATGGCCCACAGAGCGCGCAGGCCCGTCATCCACAGGTGAGCCATAGGTTTAGGCATGCCTCGTTGCATTGGGACGCCAACCCAAACATCTGAGAGGCTCAGACTGAGGGACGGGCCGCCCTGATGCGTGCAACCAGCAGGTACCCCCTCCAGGGTCAGGGCGCCAGCTGCCTGGCGTGACCGGTCTCGGCGT